TGGCTGTACAGCCTGTTGAAACATTAGAACAAAGATGTGTTGATTAATACTCTCTAGAAGGGCAGCGGATCGGAAATGAGTTTGGGGATTCGATTTCATTTCAAGATTTTGTGAAGATCTTGGCCTTAAATTTTGCCTGGGACTCTTTTGTATTCCTAAATTCCTGTGCTGTGGATGTCTATGCTGACCCAACGGGGCTTTGTCCTGAGGCTCACAGGGCCCATGGCAAATGAGGAGCTTTTCAGTTAAATGTTCTCCTGGGGCTCTGAAGCAGTGGTGCCCAAGATTTTTCCTTTAAGGATCTTGCCTGGGGCTTGGAGCATTAGCAATTCTACTTATAATGTAGTTTTTTATCGTTTGGTTTCTCCTTATGTTCAAATGACGGAAGAAGAATGAAAGAGTATATGACTGATCAGAGTATCCCAGTCTTTCATCTTTAATAGTGTCCACGAAAGTATCAGTGGGAACTCTAATGGGTTGGAGGCCACGGCTTGTGATCTTTATTTTAGATGGTGACCTTACTGAGGGTACTGGCTATGACCACTAATATTTTTGCCTTCCCCAGTATCTTTTCCCATATTTAAAACCAAAGCATACAGTTGAAGTTCTGTGAGTTTCCAAGTATGTGATAAAAGCATCAAGTACTCCTGCCTTTCCCATATAGAACTCCTCAGCCCTCTGCTCATGACGGTGTCTCACGGCATTGGGATCTCTCTGCAGCTGGCACTATGCAAAAAGAGCAAAGACTGTGTCCTTTTCAGATTTGCTATGTACAGATCCTAGACCTGATAATAAACCTTCTATAAGAAAACATAGGAGAATACGTTTGGGACTTTGGAGTAAACAGAAGTCCCTTAGGCAAGGGCACAGAAAACATTAACTTAAAAGAAAAATAAATTGAGCTACTTTACAGTTGATAAATTGAGCTCCTTCACAATTTCTGCCTATCAAAAGACTTCTTTTGGAAAATAAATGGACAGCAGACTGGGAAAATATGACGTTAAGAATATTTCAAGGACTCCTATGACTTAGTAATAAGACAAATGACCTAATTTAAGAAATGACCAGAAAATTTGAACAAATGCTTTATAATGGAAAATACAGAGGTGGCCAGAATCATATGAAAAAATGTCTAATGTCATTAGTTATCGGGTAAATGCAAATTAAAGACCCCAGAATGGCTAAAATGGAGAAGACTGATAACATCAAATGTTGATGAGCATGTGGAGCAACAGGAATTCTCGAGCATTACTGGTGTGAGTGTGAAGTGAGACTTCCACTTTAGAAGATAGAGGGCACAGCCCCAGCACAATTAAGGCCATGTGTGACACATTCACAATGAATATCATAGTCATTGGAAAGCTGAAAGCTTTTCCACTAAGATCAAGAGCAAGACAAAGATGTCCATTGTTACCACTTTTATTTAGCATATCATTAGAAGTGCTAGCCACAGCAATCACACAGGAAAAAGAAATAAAAGGCATCCACAATTGTAAGGAAGAAGTAAGGCTGTCACTGTTTGCAGATGACATGACACTACAGAGAAGACCATAAAGCTGCCCGCAGAGACTAGTAAAACCAATAGCCAAATTCAGTGAGGTTGTGGGATGTAAAGTCAATATAGAGCAATCTCTTGTGTATCTATACATTAATAATGAAATAACAGAAAGGAAGATGAAGAAAACAATCCCATTTACAGTTGCATCAGAAGAATAAAATACCTAGGAATAAACTTAACTGAGAAGTGAAAGACATGTACTCTGGAAACTGTAAGACACTGGTGAACGAAACTGAAGACAACACAAATGAACAGAGAGAGATTCCATGCGCATGGGTTGGAAGAATTAATATTGCTAAAATGTCTGTACTGCCCGAGTGATGAACAGATTCAAAGCCATTCCTGTCAAAATATTAATAGTATTTTTCTGAGAAGTAGAACAAAAAAATCCTAAAATTTGTATGGAACCACTAAAGAATAGCCGAAGGCATCCCAAGAAAAAAGAACAAATCTGGAGGCATCACAACCCTGAATTCAGACTATCCTATGAAGCTACAGGAATCAGAACAGTATGGTACTGGCGCGAAAACTGACACATAAATCAATGGGACGGGATAGAGAGCCCAGAAATAAACCCATTGTACGGTCAACAATTACATGATCAATTAACCTGTGACAAAGGAGGCCACAATATACAATGGAGGAAAGACAGTATCTTCCATAAATGGTATGGGGAAAGTGGATAGCTAGCTACATGCAAAAAAATGAAACGGAGCCACATTCTCATACACCATACACATGAATAAATTAAAAATGGATTAAAGACCCAGATGTGAGACAGGAAGCCGTGAAACTCCTAGATGAGAACCTGGGTAGTTATGTCCTGGACATCAGCCTTAGCAACGCCTTTCTGGATCTGTCTCCCCAGGCAAGGGAAGCAAAAACACATAAACCGTTGTGACTACCCTGAAGTAAAAGGTTTTGCCCAGCAAAGGAAACCAGGAAGAAAACACAAAGGCAACCCAGTGAAGGGGAGGAGCTATTTGTTAAAGATATATCCAACAAAGGGGTAATATGCAAAACATATAAAGAATTCATATAACTTAAAACCCAAAAACCCCAAATAATATGATTAAAAAAGGCGCAGAGGACCTAGATAGACATTTTTCCAGAGATGTCCAGACGGCCAGCAGATGCATGGACGGGTGCTCAGCATCACCGGTCATCAGGGAGATACAAATCACCAACACGAGGAGATGCCCCACCCCCATCGCCCAAGGAGATGCCCCTCACACCTGTCAGAATGGCTGTTATCAAGAAGAGAAGATAAGTGTTGGCAAGGACGTGGAGAGAAAGGAACCTCATGCACGGCTGGCAGGAATGCAGACTGGTACAGCCACTGTGGGAAACAGCAGGGAGGTTCCTCCAAAAACGAAAACTGTAGCTAATATACGACGCAGGAATTCTACTTCTGGATATTTAAATGAAGAAAGCGAAGACGTTAATTTGAAAAGATACGTGCTCCGCTGTGTTTACTGCAGCATTATTTACGAAGCCACCTTATGGAAGAGGCCCTAGTGTCTGTCCACAGACACACACACACTGAACTATTACTCAGCCACAAAAAGGATGAGATCTTGCCGTTTGCAACGACGTGGGCGGGCGAGAGGGTGTAATGCTCAGTGAGGTAAATCAGAGACAAACACCGTGTGATCTCCCTCATCGTGGAGTCTCAGAAGCAAAGCAAATGAGCAAACAGTAACGAGAGAGACAGATTCATAACTTCGGAGAATAAGTTAGTGGTTGCGGGCGCGGGGTGCGCGAGATACGTGAAGGGGATAGAGAGGTGCAGAATTCCAGTCACAGAGTGAGTACGTCACAGGGGTGACCAGGACCGCATAGGAGATGTTGTCCACGATGCTGTGTCACTGTGAGGTGGCGGAGGGCAACTGCGCTTACCACGGTGAGCATTTGAGAATGTCTAGAATTGTCAAACCACGATGTTGTGCACAAACTGGTGTTATGTGTCAACTACCCTTCAGTTAAAAAAAAATACCAAAGATGATGCTCCCACTTCAGGAAATGTCTGGTGGTCCTGCGGCCGGGTGGGGGCAGGGATTGAACATGAACAGGGATGACACAGGGAGAGAGAGCCAGCATGGCGCATTCCAGAAAGCCGGTGGGGATTTAGGGAGGGGAGAGGCAGCTCACAGCGGTGAGCACGAAGAGCGGTGGTGGGGAGCGGCGGAGGGGAGCGGCGGAGAGCAGGGTGCAGCGGAGGGGAGACGCGGGAGCCTGCCTGCTTGTCTTCTCGTTCTGCCTGGAATGCCCTTGCCTGGCTGACCCCGTCGTCCCCGTCTTAAGGAGCGTCCGCCCACATCGGTTTCCCTGCGAGGAGGCCCCCATGAACAGGTGGTGACAGAATGGGAAACACGCACCCGCGTTGTCCCATTCGGCTGGCTCATGGGGCAGCGGGCCTGGAGTTGCAAGGGCAGATGGGCGGGCCAGGGAAGGTTCTGGGCTGCTGGGTGTAGGGTTTGCCCGTTGTGACGGGCTCTGAGCTGTGCTCCGGGGCACCAGCCTGCTGGCTGCCAGCACGTGGATTACAGAAGGTCTAGAAAGTGGGTATGAAGGCCAATTATAGTCACCTTTTTGGGGAGAGGGCCCACGAGAGGCCGTGGCAGTGGGCGTGGAGAAGGGGCGTTGAGCACGCTGGCGGGGCTTTCAGGCTGCGGGTCTGTGCCCACAGAGGTCTCTGGGCTGCCGTCCCTGCCCAGGCCAGCAGCTGGGAGGGAGCCCAGTGGGGGCTGGGCGGCACCCCCTCACCAGGGAGCTGTGACGCAGTGGGGGTGCGTGCGGTAAGGGGGTCAGAGGGGCACCCCCCCCCACCGCAGCTCTGGGCTATTCTCTAACTCGGCGCTGTGTGGTTTTGCGTAGACGTTGCTTCCTCTCTGAGATTCCTTGTCTGTGAGCCGGGCTGACGTTAGTTGGTGGCCCTGTTGCGGTGACAGAGTAGGGCGGTCACGTCGGCGGCCCTGAAGACACAGAAGCGTTATCACTATGTCATGGGTTGTGGAGGGAACTCAGGTCAGGGACGAGGGAAAACTGTGAGCATGAAGGCTCAAGTCCAAGTTAGGTGCTGTGATTGTTGACGGGTCACGTGGCTCTGTCCTGTCTCTGTTTCAAGCACTTTTGTCCTCGATGGAAGTCCCTGCCCGAACCCCAGCGTCTAGGTGAGCGTCGTTCGTTCTCTTCTATGAAGCAGCTTAAGGCAGATGTCACGTGGTATGTAGCAAGGGCCTTTTTTCCTCAGAAGACAGGCCTTCCTAGCGAGGAACGGGCGACTTTGGGAGTTGGTGTGTTGCGCGGCTCCCGTGCTTTTCCTGGGAGAGTCGCACGGTGCACTGTGTTTCATCATGTCTCTGTTGGATGAAAAAAGTTTTGTTTCTTTTTTTATGTGTGTCCTTTCTCAAGAACTTTTATCTTCCTGTCTGTGCTTCAGCTTTCTGAGGAAGAGAAAATCCAGCGGTACAGCGTCCTGTCCGAGCTCTACGAGCTGATCGGCTTCCATCGGAAGTCTGCGTTCTTCAAGCGCGTGGCCGCTATGCAGTGCGTGGCCCCGAGCATCTCGGAGCCGGGCTGGAGGGCCTGCTACAAGCTCCTCCTGGAGACGCTTCCCGGCTACAGCCTGTCGCTGGATCCCAAAGACTTCAGCAAAGGTACCGACGGTCTCCTGGCTAGGACTGAGGTGTTGCTCGTGCGCAGTTCGAGCCCTAGCTCTCCCAGCAGATGCTGTGGTCAGCACTGGGCTCAAGGATGACGGAGCGCATCCTGGCCCTGGGTACTTAGAGTACAGTCACACCAGAAAGGAGCGGTGCTGTGCTTGGGGGCTGGCATCCTTTTGCCGGTCCCTTTGCTGTTCCTGCTGCTGGCAATTGGAGTTACGCGCAGGAGTAGGACAAGCCATACACAGCTGTGGGATTTACATTCCAAAGGCTCAGCGTCATTGGTGGAAGAGACATTGGTGCTACGGAGGTGGGCATGAGCTCCCTTTGGCCGCCTTCTAGAGGTTTCTGGGAGGAGGCGGCGTTCGGGAAGAGGGCAGAGTTTTTGGAGCAATCACACGGTCGCTCTGTGGAGAGAGGGTAAAGGGTGTTTTGAAAGTTTCTAGTTGCACGGGAAATGGAATCTCCATTTACTGGGCCTCAGGGAGACTGGAGGCAAGGCCCCACTTGCTCTCCAGGTCCTTCTTTCGGTGTCTTGTGGATGTACCTCTGAGCTGGCTCTGGAGGCAAAGCCGGCACACCTGAGGGTCCAGAGTCCAGGCCTGCTTCTCCGCCGCTCTTCCCCGCCCCTCCCTGTGTCGCTGCCAGCCGTCCTTCGGGTCTTGGCTAGATGTCGCTTCTGTAGAGCTGTCCCCCGTGGCCCCTCAGCCTATGCAGACCCCCTTTATTCTTCCCCTCTCTCCATCCCTCCCTTCCTTCCTTTCTTTTTTAGAGATTTTACTTATTTGAGAAAGAGGGAGGGAGCGTGTGCGTGGGCGGAGGGGCAGAGGGAGAGCAAGAGAGAGAATCCCAAGCAGGCCCCATACCCAGCATGGAACCTGATGTGGGGCTCGATTCCACGACCCTGAGATCATGACCTGAGCCAAAACCAAGAGTCTGAGCCACCCAAGCACCCCTTATTTTTTCCTCCTTCATTGAAACCTGCTGTTCTTCCTTAGGGCACCCCCATACTCTGCAAGTACATTTAAAAATCACCTGGGGTTGGGGCACCTGGGTGGCTCAGTGGGTTGAGCATCCGGCTCTTGACTTTGGCTCAGGTCGTTATCTCGGGTCGTGAGATCGAGCCCCATGTTGGCCTCTGCATTGGGTGTGGAGCCTGCTTAAAACTAATCATTTGGGGCGATGATGTAACACCGGCCTCCCATGCCAGCCTGTGAGAGCAGAGCCCCTGACTCTCCCCATGGCCCCGGGGGGGGCGCGTGGCAGGCGTCCTAGGGAACACGTGTCACGTAGGACTGAACCCTAATGAGCAGCTGTAGCCACATATGTGGGTTGCCACTTGTTGAATAGAATTTCTTGGTTTTAATTTTTAAAACAGATGAACAAAGTGTTTCTTTTGGAAAGTAGAACAAGCACATCTTCAAGTGATTTGGTACTTTTCACTTAGCCTTCTGTTTTGCCATCGTTTTGTGAAAGAGGTTGAGAGAAGGTTAGGAAGTGAGATCAAATAAAATACAAATGATAAATGTTGACTGGCCACATTTTTTTAAAAGATTTTATTTATTTATTGGACAGAGATGACATGTAGGCAGAGAGGCAGGCAGAGAGAGAGGGGGAAGCAGGCTCCCCTCTGAGCAGAGAGCCCGATGAACTATAGTTCAGGACCCTGAGATCATGACCTGAGCCGAAGGCAGAGGCTTAACCCACTGAGCCTCCCAGGTGCCCCAGATTCTGTGGTCTTAAAGAGGTACCTTTCGCTGGCTGTGCACCTGACCCCCCACCTTACATTTCAACCATGTTAATTTCTTTTGGAGGGAGCAGCCGCAAAGGTCCACTGGTAACCTTTTTCTAATTTAGCTATCTGCTTTTGTGAGGTTTCCTTATACGTTCAATTAAAAAAGCACATTTTTCTAGTGTCCCTGTTTGTTGCTAATGAAGTCCTATCACATACCAGTATTGAAAAAAAATTGTATATCTATTATTCAAATACACGCTGTTGGAAACATAATCTTTTGTTATAACCTTGCTCTAATGATCTCAAAGTGGTTATTTTTAAATTGTCTTTGCTGTAGAGAAAAAGTATTCCATAGCACGTGTCTTTTTATGGTATAAAAGAACGTATCACTTATGAGTTCTGTTGGGGGGATCGTTAAACACAGGAAGTGTTTTTTCTTGCCCTTTGGGTTTGGTTGTTGAAACATTTGTCTTTAAATCAGGAGTTTTACACACAACGTTAACGTGTTTCCGAGGGAGGCCTGCTGGCTCTGGTGCCAGTGCGCCCTCGCGGAACCCTTGGAGGACGCTTTGTGGCTTCCCTCACAGGCACGCACCGAGGCTGGGCCGCCGTCCAGATGCGTCTGCTTCACGAGTTGGTCTACGCATCCCGAAGAATGGGGAATCCCGCTCTTTCTGTCAGGCACTTGTCCTTCCTGTTGCAGACCATGTTGGACTTTCTGTCGGATCAAGGTGAGTGGATTTGGTGAACGAGGGCACCCCTCGTGCTGGCCCACACAGACCCGGCCTTGGGTTCCGGTGGTTGGTGCTCTCCGGTCCTCTGCTGGTGAGGAGACTCCATGCTCCGCCGTGTCCTCCGCTCCCCGTGCTGCCCTTGCTGTCCTCTGGGGGCCTGATGCCGCTGTGTGCCATGCTTTCTCCCCTCTCCTCCCTGGGCCCCCTCCCTGTTTTGCTGCTTCCTCTGTCTGTCGGCTTCCTGTGTGGGCTCGCCTTCCCTTTGCTTACATGGTGCACAGTAGAAACGTCCCCGCACAACATTTATACAGAGACCTGCACGATTCGTAAGCGTGTTTCCCAGCAAGTTTTCACCCAGTGCCTCCTTCTGTAAGTGGCAGCCAGACGGGAAGTACATCCAGAGCCATGAGGACCCCGGTGCGCCCCCCAGTTACACTCCCCATGGGAACAGCTGCTTACTGGCACCACCAGGGATGCAGCTGGCATGTGTCTGCGCTGGGGCCATCGTGTGGTACTCTGCCCGCATGCCGGGCCACTGTCCCCTGCGGTCCCCTGCCCGTCACCCGTTCTTACTGTAACGGGATGGCATCTGCTGTTTGGGTTCAGTCGTGATCTATTTGTTTCCAGGCCAGATTCCCCGCTGGGCCCCAGGCGTGTTTATTTTTTGCCTCCAGGACGTCTCCCTCCGCGTGTCCCGCGGGCACTAGGAAGTGAGCTCGTGCACAGTGGAACTTGCTGCTTCCCCATCCCGCCTCCCTTTCTGCCTGCGCCGCTGGGCCGGCCAGTGCGTGCTGCCCGTTGGGTTCTGGGGGACGCGCTCTCTGCCTGGAGATGCACGCGTGGGGAGTTTATTAGGATGTGCTCCTGCCATCAGTCTGACCAAAGGGATAAGGAGGAGGCCAGATTGGGCAGAGGAACGTTGGGCCTCAGTGCGGTGTTGGCCGAGGCCTGACCAGCCCCGCAGAACTGGCAGGCGCTGTCGCCAAGCCAGGCTCGGTGACTGGTCACGAAGGGCCTGGGGAGGCAGTTTCTGGAGAGGCCACAGTTGCCCCAGGGGGACCCTGAAGCCAACCTTCTGTGTGGTGAGGCCGAGGCCTGATACTGCCGCCCCCGCTGCTGCGTGTGCGGGGCACCCAGAGAGGGGGCCTGGTTGTGGGTGAGGCACCCTCTCAGCTGCATGGAGGGCGGCGCTCCTGCCACCGGGGGCTCCATCCTTCCGTGCCTGGGGGGCTGCCACTGTCTGCTCCAGAGCCCTCCGTCCCTCCAGCTGTCCCAGTGGGGACCTGCCCCAGCTCAGCCACTGTGCCCCTCCTGCCTTCCCCTGGCATCAGCCAGGTGTCCTCTCAGTTTCGAAATCAGTGTGTCCTGCTCTCCCTCTGCCTGGGGCTGGTCCTCGACTCCGTGCGGCAGTCTCCTAGGCTGCAGGTTGGAAGCGCGGCCTGCGTCTCTTTGCGTGGGGGTGCAGCGTAGACACGTGAGTTCCAATAACGCGAAAACTCAGTAACGGTCAGCTTCCAAACAAGGGACCGAAGTTGGCGTGTGATTGCCTTTACACAACCAGGGAAACGGTCGGTCTGACTCCCGGGCTTTCCCGGACGGGACGGGGCTGGCATACATCGTGTGTTAGGCAGAGTCTGTGGGGGACCCTCGTTGCTGATGAAGTCCGAGGGTGCGTCCAGGATTGGGTGAGATTCCTCTTGTGTGGTGTCCTCCACCCTGTGTCCTTGACCTTCCTCTTGGCGGGCTGCATGGACTTTGCGTCACGTGTACCATGAGTGCCCGCCATGTGCTTTCTCTTCTCTCGGGAGGCCTGTCCCCATGTCGCCTGCTGGGACTCGGGGACGTCTGTTTCCCCAGGAGACTTCCACAGCTGTCTCGGAGTGAGTGGCTCCTGTGGCTCCTTGCTGCTAATGACCTTGCGGTCCAGGTGGCCCCGGTGCGTCTGTGCTTGGACCGAGGCCCCCGTGGACGGCGGGACCACCGCTCCTCTGTGCTGACTTAGTTTCTCTTTGCTGCTACTTTTGAATCGCGTCCGTCTTCATGCCACCTGCAGAGTTCGGCTGCGGAGTGGCAGGACCAGCGTGGCAGCGGCTAGATGGACGGTTCGCGCCTTGAGTTTCTCCGAAGCACAAGGCTGGACGGAGGTGGAGTTCTCAGACCAGGCCGGCTCTGGTGTCCAGTGGTGACCCGGGCATGGGCCTGTCTGTTGCTTGATGAACTGAATTTTTGCTTTTGGATAGGTGACCAGCCTCTTTAACCCCCCTGAGGGCGTTTGACCCTCCCCACGACCCAGCAGCTGTGACAACGCAGTGTGCCGGGCACAATGTCCAGCCTGAGTGTTCTCTGCCTGCTGGGCCGTCGAGGCCTTCTCCCCTTTTGTCACGGTCTGCTCTCTCTCTTGGTACCTCTTTCCCCACGCGGCTCACGTTTAACCGTGTGCGGGCTCCTGTGACTGTGAGTCTTGAAGACAGGCCCACAGCCTGCCTCGAACTACTCACACCTTCACCCGCCTGCTGTGGACTCTGTCGTAAATACACACCCCCCGTCCTGCGGCAGGGCGTACTCGCTGTTCCCCACGCCCTGTTCCTGGTCACCGTGTGAGTCCTCTAGCCCGGGATTCCCTCCTGGCAGCTTTGAGGAGTCCCAGCGCGACCTGCTCCCGCTCTGTTCTCTAAGCACGCTGCTCCCGACCGCAGCGGGGGAGGCCTGTGTCTCTAGCTGGTCAGTGCCTTGTCTTCCCTCGGGAAGCTCTGGAGGGAAGGAGCTTGCTGGTTGCTGGAGGTCATGTTCAGCTGGTGATCTAAGGACACGGAGTTTAAAAGGCGAGGAGCTTGGGGCATCAGACTGCTGAACAAAAAGCCGTCTCCTTAAAGGTCTGTGTGTCACGGTGTTGGGTTATTTGGAGTCTTGGGGATAAGGTCAAACGTCGGGAGGACTCAGGAGTCTTCCCTCTGATGGCCGTGACCTCAGATGCCTGATGGCGTTCTTTCTGGGCCTCCATTTTCTTATTCGTAGAACTAGGAGAGCACAATTGTGAGGTAGTTTGTTTTCATTTTAATGATAGATATTTTATTTTACTGTAAATTTTTAAATTTTATTTATTTATGTATTTATTTAAGTTCAGGGCTTGAACTCAGGACCCTGCTTGAGACCTGAGCTGAGATGAAGGGTCGGTCATTTAACCGACCGAGCCATCCAGACGCCTCTAGTGATAGGTATTTTAATTTATTGGATGACCTTTCCCCCAGAGAGCTCATGATATCATTTATAGAGTGGGTAATCAACGTTTCTAAATACTGCTGCGCGGAAATGAAGTGTGGACTAGAGGAGCAGCCAAGAAGGGAATCACTGATCCCGGGCTCGAGGGAAGAGCTTCCTGGCCTTCTTGTGTGTGTCAGCCTGTCTGGGTATTTGCAGGTGGAGACTCTGCGAGCTGGGGGCTTCTTGCCCTGCCCTCTGCCATGTGTGCTTTCTCATGTGTGCAGATAGGAGTGAATGTGTAAGATATCAGGACCGTTGTTAACACGGAAGGCATTAATTCCCCGAGGACGCCTGTCATATATATTTTTTTTTTAAGATGGAAGGACTAACTTGAGAATCTGTGGACTGTTTTGGGGAGTGTGACTGTGTTACTGATTATGACGGGGTCCCTTCCCGGGGCCCGAACTCCCCCCCCCTTCGATACGGGGTCCCTGGCCATGCAGGGGCACTTTCTATGGCAGCATGGCTGTGGACCAGTGAGCTCCGGGGGTCGCAGCTGCAAACCTGCGACTTGGTCCTGTGTGTGCGCACGAGTCCACTGAGAAGGCGTGGGAACCCTGAGTCTCTGAGGGCTCAGGCTGGCGCATATCCACACTGTCCAGCCCGTCTCTCCCTGCTCTCTGACCTGCGGTGCCCTGGCCAGGCCGCTCTTTGGAGGCTGCAGCATTTCTCTTCTGTTGCCCTGCCTGCCCTCCTGCTTCTGTCACCTGGTCCGGGTATTTGTCCCTCACTGTGATTCCCGCTTCGTGGAGCCTACTGTGCCAGTGCCTGCTGGGGCCGTGGCCCATGAGCACTCCTCATGCTCAGGACGTGTCACCCGCATCTGGAGCAGCGCCTGACACCCGCGCAGCCCCGGAATGCTGCTGCGTGAGCCCCCGGGGCTTCCATGTCTGTGAGTCTGCCCAACCGACGTTTCCTCCAGTTGTCTGCTTCAGAAACCCCTCAGGGGTGCTGGGGGGCTCAGTCACTCAAGTGGCTGCCTTCGGCTCGGGTCTTGATCTCAGGGCCCTGGGATCGAGTCCCGTGTTGGGCCCTTGCTCAGCGGGGAGCCTGCTTCTCCTAATTCCCCTGCTTGTGCGTGCGTGCGTGCTCTCTGTCAACTAAATAAATACAATCTTTAAAAAATAAAATAAAAATCCCTCTGGCTCTCGGTCTTGTGCAGTGCGGTTAGGGAAACTGCTGCCCGGGTCTGGGTCCAGCCCTGGCTCCTGGTTGGATCCTTGGCTGTTGGAGCCTGCGTGGTCGTCGCGGACGCCCGCTCCTGTGGAAAGGAAAAGGCTTGCTGCTTTCCCATCAGAGTACTCAAAGAGGGCCAGGCAGAAAAATTAGCTGGGGACGGAGTCTTACGGATTTTGCTGGAAAGTCCCGGAAGCGAGGACGAAGATTAGCCAGAGAGTCGTGAGCTACGGTGAGGTGCGGAAAATCAGCTGCGTTCTGTCCCTCCTGTCGATGCCCCAGTGAACAGACCGCGGGTGAGGACGGGGTGCCACTGAAGCCGGGGACGACCGGCGAAGGAGCCTCCTCCATCAGACTAGTCTCACTGTGTTGTAGCGGAGGGTGCTATGGTCTCGCTCTAGGGTCAGATGCTCTTAGTGAAACGGAAACTTCACGCAGTTGCTCGGGCTGTCCCTGCCGGGGTTGCAGGATGATGCCTGTGTTTCACTGCGCTCAGCATTCGCTGGGGGGCTCCGGGTGGAGACCATCAGAGCTCCGGTGTCTCCTCTCGTGGCAGGACT